CCGTTAGCTGGGGTAGGCAAGGCGCTGCGCACGCGTGCCCACTCGTGCTCATGTTGCCTACCCGCCCGGCGCTCCGTTAGCACCCCCAAACTGAGCTACTTTCTGTATGATCATGCGGGAGTGCATCATTGAGCAGTTCTCACCACGCCCCCCACCAACCCTTTGCAAATGAATGATTTATTTTAATTGCCACAGAAAATCAGGCCAATTAGTCACTCGGCGTCTCTCTCTTTTCCAGCTTATTCGGAGTACATCTTTGATCCCTGCGGCGCCATGCCGATAAAATGCAACGTTTGCGCCAAAGATCTATCGTCAGCGGAGACTCTAAGGGTGCACATGAAGACACACACAGGAGATAAACCTTTCCAATGCGACGTGTGCTTCAGAACGTGCCGTTCAAGTTCCGAACTGACAGTTCATCTCCGATCCCACAACCGCAAGAAGCCTTTCAAGTGCTCTGTGTGCTGCGTGGGCTTTCCCACAAGTTCCGAACTGCGCATACACATGCGAATTCACACTGGAGAAAAGCCGTACGAATGCACAGTTTGCAAGATGCAGTTCTGTCAATCCGGTCACCTTATTTCGCACATGCGAACTCACACTGGAGAAAAGCTATACGACTGCATCATTTGCTCCAAAAGGTTCGGGCAATCAAGATGTCTAAAAGTACATATGTTAGTCCACAGCGGAGAAAAGCCACACCAGTGCACCGTATGCAAGATGCAGTTCCGTCAACCCGGTGGCCTTATTGCGCACATGCGAACTCACACTGGAGAAAAACCATACAAATGCACGGTTTGCCCAAAGAGATTCAAACAGTCGGGCACTTTGAAAACACACATGTTAACCCACACCGGAGAAAAGCCATTCCAGTGCAGCGTGTGTCAGCAGGGCTTTACTATAGCGTCTAGTCTGCGGAGTCATTTACAAGCGCATCATTTAGAAGGACCATGTTACGTGTGTTCTATGTGCCAGAAGGAGTACTCCACAACGCAATCCTTACAGTCACACATGCGAATAGTGCACTCTGGAGGAAAAAGAATTAAATGCGCTGCATGTAGCAAGACCTTTGCTCATCCGAGGAACCTGCAGAAACATATGATACTCCACAGCGGAGATAAGCCATCATTCGAGTGCCCTGTTTGCCATTACAGGTGTGCTTATGTTGGCAATCTGCGAAATCATATCAGGAGGCATACTAATGAGAAAGCATTCGAGTGCTCCGAGTGTGTCAAGACTTTCTTCTCAGCGGATGAGCTGAGGCGTCATTTCCGAACTCACACGGGTGAGAAGCCATATGCGTGCACTGAGTGTCCAAAGAAATTTGCAGCATCAGGCGATCTGCTGAAACATCGACGAACTCACACGGGAGAGAAGCCATATGCGTGCACAGAGTGTCAATGGAAATTTGCAGGAGCAGGCGATCTACGGAAACACATACGGAGGATGCACACAGGCGAAAAGCCTCATGAATGCACCGTGTGCAACAAGAAGTTTGCACTCGTAAGCAATATGCGGCTTCACATGCAATGCCATATTGGTAAGAAGATCTACGAGTGTACCGTGTGCCACAAGAAATTCTCTCGATCTTCCTATCTGCGAAGCCATCTACTACGGATGCACACTGGCGAAGAGCCATTTGAGTGCAAAGTGTGTCATAAGGAATGTGCAGATTCAGACGATCTGGGTAAACACATACGGACGCACTCAGGTGAAAAGCCTTTTCAGTCCAGTGTTCGCCAGAAGTTCGCCCAAACAGACAACATGTGGAAACACGCGCAATCTCATATTGACAAGAAGACCTGGTACAAGTGCACTGAGTGTCAGAAAAAATTCTCTCGATCTGGGAGCCTCTTATTACATCTGGAACTACATCTACAAACACACAAACCAGAAAACGTTTCTGCAACTGGGTGTTCTTAGACATGTCCGTGCCAAATTACAATGTACCCCCTGCGAACCTGCTGGGGCTTAATCATCGATTTGTAATCAGGATAACTTTGTGGTAAATTCAAACTAGCCCATGTATGGCGTATGATCTTTCAACTTTGTTCATAGTTCTCTACCTAACTTAAAGAAGACCGTCTGCATGGCAGGCAGCAGGTCAACTCTCGTCTGCTTCAATTGGTTCTATTTGTTCGCCATTTTGGCATTACCTTTGCAAAAAGTCGGCGCTGAGCACCTACTCGCACTCATAGCTTCCCTAGTGTGTCATTCATTCTGTGTTGATGGTATAGTGTCGGTGTCCTATTTATCTAAGATCGCATCTAAGATGCTTGCTGATCATATATTGTGCGGGCGCATGTTTAGAATTCGTTCGCTGTAGACCTGTGTTTGAATAAATACGAAAATCCATATGTTCGTATACTTTTGGGTTTGGAGGTGGAGAGCCCTTTTTTGTCACTCACGTTTTCAGGTACCTGTTGGTGAAGGCGAGATCTTCCTGGATGCTGTGGTCCAGCCGGGCCGCCGCTGGAGGCGGCACCACAAACGCTTTGCGCGGTGCGTGTCGGGTCGCACCCGAATGGGATCGCTCGCATGTCGTCTGTTCCGCCGCGCTGGACTGGCTGAGTGGCTGCGCTGCTGGAGCCGGAAAAGAGGAGGAGAGGAGTGGGGGAGGGGATTTCGGGTTCGTCGCTCCAGCTGGCCGCATGGTGTCACCGAGGAGAGGTACTTCACGCAAATCAGTATACTCCCTCTAAAAATACGCGACGAAAAAAAAGAAAGAAAAAGAAACACGGTCGACGGAAAAAATAAAAAAATGTGGTAAAAAAGCAAATTGTTTAGAAATTTTAAAAAATCATGAAAAAAAATTGTGGGCTCATGAATTTATGTAAGTGCCCGTCGGGTGTCACAAGGCAATTCGGCACGACCATTGAGCAGCACTGCGATAAAGAAGAGGCAGAAGACGACGATGGGCGGCGGCGGAAGTAGCGATTTGTCTGAACCGGTTCCGCCGCACCGCTGCCCGCACTCATGGACTCCCGTCGTGATTTGACCCGGCGCTGTGAGCTGTCCCCCTCCCTCCTTTCCTGCCTCATGATTAGTGCCCCAGTGAGTGTGTGTGCAGGGCGGGCAGGGTGCCGGTTTTGAGGCGGACTTGAGCGGCCGCTTCCTCCTGCCGCGCATACGTTTCACGTCAGTTGCAGAAACAGCACCCCGGAGCATAAAACTTGTGCGCGCGCTTGTGCTGCTTCGTCCGTTCTCCTTTCGGCCCCGAGATTTTGCCATTTCTTCTTTCTCTCTTTCTCTCTCTCCCTTTCTCAGCTCTCCTTTTTTTCTTCTTCTCATGGAGCGCGCTACCCCACCCCGCCTATTTACTCGCCCCGTCCCGTTCTCGGGAATCTGTTTGCGGTGTAGGGCGGGGCGCTGCGCCCGTCGGAATCCGCGCGCGCCGCCGCCGCGAGTTTGAAAAGTGGTGCAGCGTTGTGGGAGGAGGCGGCGGAGGCGGCGGCGGCGGCGGAGGCCTGACCTTGCGCACCGTGAAAGTGATGCGACTTGTCTGGTAAATAGTTACCCTCTCTTTGGCACACTGCTCGCTCGCGGCTTATCTCCTCTCTTGCTTGCCGGCGGTCGTTGCCGATGTGAAATGAAATGTGAGCTCTTGGGGGGGGGGGGGGGGAAAGAGAGATGGGAGGAGTTCCAGAATAACAGTGAATCAGAGAGGACGCTGCCTTTGTCGCCGCCGCATCGCCCGCCGAGGTCGTAAGGCCGCCGATGGCCGGTCATCAGCTGATCATCAATCATCAATTACCGCTCTGCCGCTCACTTCCGCGGGGGACGCCGTTCAACACAAAGTGACAGTCAAGCGGAACCCGCGTCGTGTTCTCATCCGTGTAATCTATCGCACCATTTGCGAGGATAGGAAGATGATGCGGATCTGTGGCCTTTTGCAGAGGACAATGTAGAAATAGTATAGTATTTTGATGTAAAGTGATTGAGGGGTACGTATCGAATCGAAGTAATGTACGTAAGGGGGGGGGGGTCGTGTAAAGTGCATTGAGAGGTATGCAGCACCGGGCCGCTCGCATCGAGACCGTGTAGCGCAGTGCCTGGGCTATCGGCCGGCTCATGCATTGAGAAATGACCTCCCTCCCTCCACTCCCCATTCCTCCCGCCCTCCCTCCCTCCCTCCCCAGGGACGGCGGTGGCCGGGGCGCACCGCACGGTGTTGTAGGGGAGATCTGCTGTTGGCGATTTCATTGGCCCGATGTGCACTGCTGCATAGCTTGTGCTCGTGTAGGGCCCGGGCCAGGCCGAGGTGTTGCCCCCATCGCTCGTTAGCGCAAACAGGCCAGTGGCTTGGGTGCCGCGCGCCGAGGAACAGACGGAAGGAGGGAAAAAAAACTAGCGTTGGACTCAACGGTTCAAGTACTTACATACCGCCGGAAAACCCTCGCTAACTGAGCGCGTGTTAAGTTTCTGTGCATTCGAGTAGGCCAGCGCTCAATATCGTACTCACCTGGCAATGAAACAAAAAATGAAAACAAAAACAACTTTTAAAGCAGCAACCTCGCAGTTTGAAGTTTTCCACCCGTTTACCTCACCTGGTAATGCCTTGGCCTCGGGTAACAATTGACTGTCGGCTCTAATGTGGGGTGCTTAGCGACTCTGTCCTGCGCTGTCTAGGTCAGGGCGTGGCGATGCGTGGCGATGCGTTTGATGCTCGGCCCCCGCTGCTGTCTGGGAGTACCGCTAGCCCGACCGACCAGTTCCCCCTTCGGCCCCGCCCCGCCACGCTCCGCGAGCTCCTTGCGATTCTCCTCCTCTCCTCTCCCCTCTCACTCTGTCACGCTCGTGACGCGCGACTGTTGTTCCTGTCGCGTGCGGGTCGTGTGCGATATGCTTTATGACTCCCATGAGGTCTCGTGGTATTTACCGTGCACCTACTCGCTAGAACGTTTCCTAGATAAGATGTAGATATCGTCGAATTTTCTTTTCATATCTATCCTTGTGCGCTTCTTTGCCGTCTCGACCGACAACGTCGAATTGAGCACAGGAGGATGTAGTAAACAAATATTTATTTTGTTCCGAATTGCCCTCCGCAGTGACGAAGAGAGGACACAGAACAGCACGACCGCCTTTGCGTTTGCGTGTCTCCCTAGCTGGACCGCTTTGACCGCTCCCGGCCGGTCCTGCTACATGTGGGTCTCATCAGGCGCCCCCCTTCCGATTTAAATCTCCCGCGGCTCCACCACACTTCCGGTCGGGCGTCTCCCCGGCGCCGCACTACGGCCGGAAGCAAACTGGTCTACCCTAATTGTTTTTGCTCTTCTTTTTTCTTCCTCTTGATGTCTGTCCTCTGAGTGGCGCGCCACTACTGTTGTCGCGTTGTTATTCCGCCTGGTTTGGCTGCTGGCTCTGGTCCGCCATTAGCGCTGCTGCACATCGAGCGCAGGCGGCCGCGGGCCACCGTGACGCGCGCACGACGACGCACTGCTGCTGCTACTGCAAAAGTAAATCTCAACCCTCTTTTGTATGATGATGTCTTTTTGTCGCTTGTCGCGCTTTGCGCGCGCCTGACCGAGGATATAAGGATGCGATTGAGGCCACCGTGTTCACGGAAAAAATATTAACTGCGTTTAGCTAAACAAATAGCTAAATGAGGGATACACGGGGATACATTAATTATTTAGCCATGTCGGTAGAAATTCGGCTATGTTGAGCTACATAGCTATTTTTTTTTAGCAAAGCTAAATAGCAATAAATAGAATCCGAATTCTTTGGTGACATATCTAGCTACATAGCTATATAATGAGTTATTCCGTATTTAGCTGCTGAACTTTAATTTTTCCCGTTTGTTTGGCAGTGGAGCGTCCCGCGCCGGGTCATGCCGCTTACGGCTGCCGCTGCCAAACTGGCCGCGAGCTGCAGCCGTCAGTTGGGTCCTAATGACGCGTCGGCCGATTAATACCCTCTTTTTTCGCTCTCTCTCTCTCTCTCTCTCTCTCTCTCTCTCTCTCTCTCTCTCTCTCTCTCTCTCTCTCTCTGCACCGTCCATTAGCGGACCAAATCCTATGTGTGTCTCACCGTTAGAGGCGAGCGCGGCGCAGCAGCAGCATCTCTCCTAATGCCGTGCACGGCACGCTTATGCTGTGCGGAAGTCTCCAGCAGCGGCCTGCAACAGCCTCCAGCGGAGCCTCCAGCGGAGCCTCCAGCGGAGCCTCCAGCGGAGCCTCCAGCGAAGCCTCCAGCGGAGCCTCCAGTAGCCCCCAGCGACGGCCTCTAGCAGCATCAATCGCTTTGAGGGTCGCCATGGAATGTAGCTTGAAATGTCTAGGATTTGGGCTAGAAAAGTTTCAGGGAATTTTTGCAACCATGATCCCGTTTTCCCGGTATTTTCCCCAAATTATCCTATTTTTCTGGTTGTTTTGGTATTTTTTGGGAGAATCAACTCGCGGATTTTCGACATTCTTCCCTTTTTCTGGACCCGTCCGAATGTGGGATCTTGTGTCACACCTGATTCTTAGCTTCCCGCAGCAGACTTACCTTTCCCTTAACTGGCGGACCCCGTTGCCCGCGACGTGTCCGGCACCTTGCCGCCTTCACCACTGTGTGTGTAATTAGCCAAAGCCAAAAGAACCCATTTTCTTCCCTTTTTTTTCATTTCTACCTTCCCTATTTCCTTTTCTAGAAGTTCTTGCTGGCGGACGGTTTGCAGTCGTCCCCCCTTCCCCCCTTGCTGCCCTGTGTACTGTGTGCCCATTAGGCCCCTGGCGCTAAACGCGGCCTGGTCTTCTTCCTTGCGCCGGCCACGCCCCCCACCCCGCCCTGCAGAACGAAATAATAATAAAGTTTATTTACTTTCCGGTGAATTCCTTGGCCTGCAGCGTGCAATGCGAGCAGCAAAGTACAAGCAAGAGGCAGACGTTTTCTCTTTTCACATCTGTGCGTTTTGGTGCTGCTTGTGGTGAGGGCTTTCCCGATGAAACTCAATGAACGAGTGTGTTCACCTTTTTTAGTCGGGTGTTAGCACGGTAGGTCAGTGACTCGTAGGCCGAACCATGACGTGAAGCCGCGGAGAGAGAGAGACAGAGACGCGTCCCTCAGGTCAGTCACGCCCCCGCTCCCACTCTGTTGACTTTTTCTGGACCTAAAGCAAGAGAGACGGCGCGTGTGCCGTCTGGACCATGTCCTCTGAATGTGTGGGTATTCGCGTTCGCACAGGTGTGTTCGCTCGCTCTCTCTGCTCCTGTCCGCTCCGCTCTGCAAGGGAAATGGATTCGGAGCTGCTGAGCTGGGCGTTCCCTCTTTTTCACTCTGTTCCGGGGGGCACGTCGCCACGCCCCCCCCCCCCTCTCTCTCCCTCTCTCGGCCGCTCTCTCGCTGGCTCCGACGCGCCCCGACGGACAGATCG